GGGGCCGGGAGGGGGGCAGACGAGTTTCCCTGGTTGTGCCCAGAGTGGCCACCAGGGCAAGCTGGGAAGGGCTAGCCTCCCACTAGTTTGAATTAAGTGGCTACACAGCCCTTAATTCGAACTACTTAATTCGAACTAGGCGTTGGTCCTCGTAGAATGAGGTTTACCTAGTTCGAATTAAGCGCACCGCTAGTTCGAATTAAGTTCGAACTAGTGGTTTGCATGTGTAGCGCCTATCAAAGTTAATTCGAACTAACTTCTGTTAGTTCGAATTAACTTTGTAGTGTATACATACCCAAAGATGCTACAGGACTACTTCTTGTTTTCGTCATAGCCAAGTTAGAAAGAATGATTCTGTGGAGGGGGTCTGGAACTAGCAGGTCAGGTGGCTGAGGCCCCATCACTTTTTATTGGCCGTATGGATGAGTGATGTGGGGGGAAGGCAGAAAGGAGGAAGTGGGGTTGGGGTCCTGGGGGGGGGGAGAAAGGGCGTGGGCTCAGGGCGAAGGGGTGGCATGAGGGCAGGGCCTCAGGGGAAGGAATGGAGCCTCAGGGGGAGTTTAGGGTTTTGATTTTAAGGAATAAAATCAAATTGGGCTAGGTCCTGGTTTCCTCAGAGTGGTGCATGCACCTCAGAGTCTGTCCAAGTGTGTCAACACTAGCAGCCCTTGCACCTCTGAGTCTTCATTATCGTTACTCCACTGCTGAAAGAAGCAGGTGAAGTGCTTTTGGCAACAGAGGACCGAGGTTAGACTCATGAGTGTAGTCTACATTAGCGCTTCCCCTGTTGCCAGCTAGCACTGATGGGGAATTACACCTCTGAGTTTTGCCAATCCAGGCAAGGCCTTTGTTTTAAAACCACAGAAACTAAGATTACCCGAGTGCTTCAGATAACAGCTCCCTGGTTTAATGAAGAAGGGAATGAAGGCAAGGAACCTTCTAGGAGGAGACCACTACTATGGAGTTTGCTTCCTCTGTTGGTTCTCCAGAACCTGAATTTGTTGACTTCAGCTGACACTGCAAGGCCTACTTGTTTCCCCAGGTGTTTTTTCTAGAGTGTGAGTGTTGAGTTAGGGTTGAGTAAATAGGTAGAGGTGAGGAATTCAAGGAGGAATCCAGGAGGTCCCTGCATCTTAGGACAATGGCTGCTATCTACTATCAATAAATCTGGTGCATGCACCCAGAGTATTAGACGGGTACGCTTTTATAAACTGAAATGAACAGATACACATTATTATTTCTTCTTATTTATTATTAGTTACATCCTGACAGCGTGTTCAGTGTGGAACAAGGCACAAATAATATAATCCAGATGCACGCACATGTGAATGCATAGCTAAAACACTCACAGCCTTCTATACACATGGCTTGTAGGGCCCAGTTCTTCATTTCTTGGGCAACACACCATCTGAATGATCTTTTCCTCCTGGAAAAGTAGCACAGAGAAGCCAGTGCTACAAAATCTTCTCCAAGAGTGCAGCACCTTACAAGGATCACCCTGATCCACAATGACAACCTCTAGAGGGCTCGGTGCTTGATGTCTCCACCCTGTTCCCTCTGGGCAGCTTGTGCCAACTCACTCACAACAAGCCATGGAGTGTCACAAATGACAAATACTGGCCCCTGCTCCTCCACTGCATTTGCAGATTCATTTCACTGATGAAGACTGCCAGTTCCTCTGAGCCAGGCTTTGATTAAATATCCCATATATAAAGTACTAAATAAATATAGAATCATTAGCCACTAATGTCCCAAGCCTGTTCACATGGAGATGTCGGTGTATTTATATATAAATGTCAATCGAGGCTATTTACAAAATGTATCGCAGACTCCAGGAAAAGTCAACTCTGCAGACTCCTCCCCAGGATGTAGCTCACACCTGCTTCTGGGAAAGAGAGAGTCTGCCTTCCCTTCACTCCCCTCCTGGCTTGGGAGATCAGGTGACCAGGAAGCATAAGACTCAGAGCCTGGAAGAACTGGAAGCCAGTGTTAGAAAGGAGGTTTGGGGAACAGAAATCAGTCCCGGGTAGATCAGATTCCTAGAGAGTAGGAGTCAGTGCTGGGAAGGAGCTCTGTGGGGGTCCGTTGGCAGTGCTGGAAAGGTTGTCTGGGACTCAGTGGTGAGCAGAGTGTCTAGGGAGGGAGCTGTTAGGATTGCTGGCCAGGAAGGGTACGTCTACACTGCAGCGCTATTTTGGGATACTTCTGGTATCCTGAAACAGCTATTCCGCATCTTGACAGCACACCCGTTATTTTGAAATCTTTCAAAATAATTGGCATACTATTCCGACATCCCAGTAAACCTCATTCCGCAAGGATTAAGAGACTTCCAAACAGACTATCTTGAAATAAGCTACGCAATTTGCGTAGCTCAAATTGCATAGCTTATTTCGAACTAAGGGTGCTGTGTAGACATACCCAAAATGTGGAAGGTTTCACAATTCAAATGAAAAATAGCAACCCCAAAACTTTTCATTAAGTGCCCCCACCCCCATTTGCCAGCCAGGTCTATAGGGGTTGGAAGGAAGGAAGGAAGGAAGGAAGGAAGGAAGAAAGAAAGAAAGAAAGAAAGAAAGAAAGAAAGAAAGAAAGAAAGAAAGAAAGAAAGAAAGAAAGAAAGAAAGAAAGAAAGAAAGAAAGCTCTCCCAGCCAGTTCTAGCTGTGTGACTCAGTGCAGTGGAAGTGGAGAGATGGGAGAGGTTGCAATACTTGGGTGGATCAGTGCTATATGGGTCAGGTACTTCTAGCAATACATGAGACTATGGTACCTGAATGGGGAGGCAGTTGCTTGTTTCAGTTTAGCAGCTGACAGAGAGCACAGAGACACCAAGGTGATCAGGGCTGAGGGGCCTAGGGTCAAAGTCTCTGGGCCTTATAGCCTCATAGCCAGAAGCTTTGGTGCCATCAGGAGGCAAATGAGCTCGGTCACATGGATGAGGGCAGGGAATGGAGTGAACAGGGGCAGGCAGGGGATATATGATTAAAGTGCTCTGCTGAGTGAATGGAAGGGAATTAAAGTGCCGTATGTGTAGAGTCAAAGGGAGGTGGGGAAGAAAAAGGGCCCATCCCTTTCATCTGCCACCACCCTGCCAGTCTGGTTCTGTCTCTTTAGCAGGATAGAAGCAAGCAATGGCCTTTCCTTCCACCCTTACTGCCTGCGCATTGTCTCTTGGCTTCTCACTGAGCTGTTACTTGGTGCCTTGCCCGCCGGTGTAATCCTCATACGGACTGGCCCGAGTTTTAGGCCGGGGGATGGAGAACTCCTGCTGGGGCGGGAGGTTCTGAAAAAGAAACAATCACGTGATCAAACTTCAAAACCGGAGAAAAGTGAAAATGGGATGAGAATAAGTAAAAGGGGAACTAACTGCTACACTGAATATCAGGAGCCACTTCCTGAGAGCACAGGCTGCTAGGCTGCGGTGCACACTGCCAAGAGAAATGGCAGAACCCACATTGCTCGCTGAGCCCTTTGGAGCCACACTGGACTAAGCACTCTGCAATCAGCTGTGGAGAACAGTCCTGTATTGGTCAGGGCGTGTGCAGGGCAGGGAGTGCGGATAAGAAATGAACCATTAGGCCTCGCCCAGCTCTGACAGATACTGTCGTGCCTGTGGGGATAGTGAGTTTTCACTGAGGCAGATGTGGGGCTGTCCATAAATGACACCTTAGAGATGGGTGGTCCCTTCATTTTGCATGTGTGTTCCAAGGGGGTGAGGAGTGGGTCCTGAGAGGCACCGAAACGTGTGTTACACAACTAAGGGATAGCCCCTCACCTGCCCAGGATGGATTACACTGCCAGTCCTAATAGCCAATGAACACCACAGCCTCATCCAGATGGGGCCACCCTTTCTCCAGATGAGGACATCAACCCCAACTCCACATGTAGGGCCCACCCATCTCTGCCTATCCTGTACAGAAGGTAGCTTCATATAAAGCACTCTGTTTAACCCCTCTCCCTGGTTAAATAGATATAACAAGAAGAGATGTCTTTACCTCCATCTGAAAGTGAGCATAATGTGGAACGTAGGGTGGGTCCTGGTTGTTTCCTGCATCTAAAAACAAGAAGGAAAAGGGAAGAAAGCAGCCAGTAAGTGTCACAGTGTCATCACCACAACACTATCAGGGACCTGGGGGAGGCAGTACTGTATGGGGAACTGCCGATGAGGGTCCTCTAGGTAATCAGCAGGCAGGAGGAGTGTGAATTCCAGAGATGATTTTACCATTTCCCATTTTCTTATCAACCAGAGGCTGAAGAGAAGTGTTGTAAGAAAAAAGACAGGGGAGGGGTACTGAAATTTCTCTCTTCTTCAATGTCTGTTGTTTTC